CAACGTTGCTTACACCACTAGTTTTTTTTAATTTGCATCGTACCCGTAGTGCTAATTCTGCAGAGTGGGCAGGTAGAATTTGCAGTCGAAGAAAAAACTCGCATCTTAGTAAAATGGTCGAGCTAAAATGCCATAAAAAGCACAATTTACGGCTCATGGCACTTGACAACCGCCCCTTGTCGATAGAGAAGAGACCAACCTCTGTTCTAGAGGCCGCTGTTCTGTCTTACATTATTTTATTTTGGAAAGTTGAACAGCGGAGAGATATTGAGGGTAATCGATTTTCATGAAGAGCAACAAGGACACGACACACAAGTAGAAATATTATTTTATCATATATTTGCATTGTACATAGTATTGAACCCTGTAATGATTTATACTATCCTGGTACGCCGTCTTTGTATAATATCCATCAAAAATTAGTTTTTAATGTGAAAAGTGTTTGTGTAGCCTAAATATTGTATATCTAACGCGAGCCGTTCAAAGATGATGCGGTCAAGGCTCGCTAAAAAAAGTCGCTAAGCACGGGGGCATTTGCAAGAAGCAATACATACCCCCTGCCGCTGAAAATAGCAGCATCATCTTTGAACGGCTTGGGGGAACCAAAGTTGCAAAGGTCTTCCGGTATGTAGATGATTTTCTGATTTTGTTACATGCCGATGCCTTATCCTTTCTTTCGTGAATGACTCACGCTTTAGGCATTTTTAGTGATTGCCTTTCGCCACTTGTTCTGACTCATGAAGTTCCTGAGGCAGGATGCATCCGTTTTTTGGATTTCAATTTAACTATTTGTCCAGGTCATGTTTGTTAGAGGTATGAGCCCCGTGCTGGGGGAAAGCTACTGTTGCCCCCAGTTCGAGTCCGCTCACTCAAAAACTGTCAAGCGGGCGATTCCGAGGACTTGCTATACAGATGCGCTGCGTAGGTATTGTTATCATAAAATTAAACATAGCTTTGACAGGCAAACTGAGCGCCTCGCAGATGCTGGATTTCCCTCCCGCGTGTTAACAACAGTCGCCGAGTCTTTGCTGAAAGATATCAAGAGCAGGCCTATGACAAGTGAAGAAGAGGCCAACAACAAAAAGGGAAGGGAAAGAAGGAAGTTTGTGGTCATTTCCTACATACACGGCTTGTCCCACAACCTAAAAACCACTGCGGGCGGGTGTGACGTCGACGTTTTATTCTCTGCTTTGGACAGGTTGTCCAGGTTTTGCAGAGCTGTTAACCCTTCTCCGATGCCTTATCCCCGTGCTGCAAGCCGTGGCTGCCCTCGCGAGGGCAGCCACGGCTTGCAGCACGAGGCATCGAGATCGCTTCGTCTCGTGTCCTGAGGGGGTGGTTTATTCCCATTCCTCTGACGTGTGGCAAGCGCTACGTTGGCCAGACGGGCCCTTGTCTCAATGACATGTTAAGAGACCACGTTTACAGTGTCTCCACAACCGTGTCTGGTCATCTGGTCATTCATTGCCGCGACTGTGGTTGCCTACCCGACTTCCAAAGGTGTGAGGTTGTTAATTGCGTCATAGGGACCAGCTTACTCGGGAAATTCAAGAGGCTGTCGAGATAGCGACATTGGATGCAGCATATATAAGCAGCCCTTCAGTGGCCCTATCAGACAAAAAGATGCATTTTCTGGTTCCCTGATTTGCTCGTTTTTTAGCACGTACTCTGTACGGCTGTGTCGTGCTGCATTTTTTTTTTTATTTTTATTTATATATATATATATATATATATATATATATATATATATATATATATATAACGGGCATGGTGGCGGGAGGCCACCATGCCCGTTGTTTCCAGACCGGCCCCCGGCGCACCCAAGGTGGAGCAGCTAACACGGATGTACCCCAAGCGTCTTCCTGACGAAGGCCGGACTCCGGCCGAAACGTCGAAGATTAAATCGTCCGTTGTTGCTGTTTTCACTAAGGGTTTTTTTCTTCTCAGTTTTATATGTGTATATATATATATATATATATATATATTTATCATTGTTTTATTTTTATTGGTGGTGCATCACATTGTCCGAATTCTTTCTTCTCTTTGTTCCTGACGCCGCAAATATAATTTGCGATTTTGCGTTCAATAAACTCAGTTGTAAGTCAGCGCTACGTCCGTGTTACTTCTTTGTCTGGTCCTCGTCTTTTCGCGCTGTTTTTATTTCCGAAGTATGTTCCAACTCGCCCAAGCCTCAACTTTAGTTTTGTACCTTTGCGTTCAAAAACCTACGCGCGTCAAGCGTCGCTCCATCTGTGTTATCACGTGACACAACCCGCCGGAGCACCTCGAATCTATTTGGGTGAAATTTCGAGCACAGCCCTTCCCTTTCTCGTTTTCGGAACCTGAAGAGCAGCGGAGGCCTTGAACGATTGATCAGGAGCCAGCAGAGCTTGTTAGCGGCTGCCCAGACCCATGTGATAAGCATGTTCAGGGCCCCTATGAAAGGCACGGGCGAGCTTTAGTAAAAAAAAACTTTCCCCTCGGAAAAAAAAAAAGATTGGGCGGAAGCGGAGCTTTGCAGAATTTATGAGAGTCGTATCGCCTACCGATTTTTTAAGCACAGTATACTGTTTGGACAGGCCTTAAACACGCCACCATGTGCTTTTTCAAAATTTCGTCCGGGAATGCTTTGAACTCCAGAGTTATGCAATAGAAATCAGTTCTGTCATGAAATTTTTCGCGTTTTCACTTTTTTGTTGCGGTCGCCCGCTCAATTTGAAGATTTCGGCAATTAAGGCGCATTTCACACGGAAGTGTTTTTTTAATTACTTCAGCATTTTTTCGAACGTTTGGTCCTGTGGACATCTTCGTAAATATACTTCGTTTTACAATGGAGTGAAGCGCAGCAGACGCTACATGTGGTCAAAGCCAATCCAGCACTCTAAACGTGTCACATAACTACACACCCTGCGCGTCGCTCCACCCTTCTCGGAGATCACGTGACATTAAAAAAAAAAAAACATTGAATCGACATCGATAACTCGGAGCCTATCCGGCAGTTGATTGTGAGGTGAAACGGAGCATGAACATTTTCGTTAGCTACTCGCAAGCCTGACCAGTTGCTTGCTGCGGATACTTCGTTTATCCCTACAAAATTGTCGAGCCTCTGGATTCCAGAGTACGACTTAATATTATCGTTTCTTGCTCTGTACTTAGAAATCCCCCCACCCCATGTGTTGCGGAGCATTAGACGTCAGCGTTGACATTCTATCGAAACGGTGCACATTGCTGTTCCGCTAACCGCAGCCGCTCCGCCGTATCCGCGCTAGTCCTAGCTACTTCGGTGTCCCTCCTGGCGCGCCGGTCTACTGGGCTAGACGTCGTGCCCAAATGCCGCCAGGGCCCCTACGCTAAACGGCCGCACCAAGCGAGACCAGGGAGTGAGACAGCAACATCTGCTGCGATTGGTCAGCAACAGCAGCAGACGACAAGGCTGGGGCTAGATGAGAGGCGGAAAAATTGCGCGGGCGCCTTACCGCAACCGCTAGCCTTGTACCTGCTCCACGAGTGGTAACTTTAGTGCGCTACTACTCGTCTCACGCGCTCAAAGTCTTTCTGAAAATGACTTATTTAGTGGTTTTCGATAACGCTCAGCAACTTTCTAATTGGAACCATATGTCCATTTCCCCTAATTAAAAAGTTAATTAACAAGTTTTAATCAATTATCTGGCTAATTAGTAGGTTTTTTGGCAATTCCTGACGTCCGCCGTGGCTGGTAGTTCGTTCCCGAAGAGAGTTTCGTCTTTTTTCAATCGCCCTAATTTTTAGGATTTTTGAAAGTCTTCGCAAAAACACCCGGTATATATATATATATATATATATATAATATATATGCAGAGAGCAAGACCAAAAAGTGTTTTTTTTTTATTACTGCTAATCTTGATGGGTTGTCGGAACTTGTGATGGCTCTAAAGAGGCAGCACACTTCAGAATTACTCAGACCAGGAAGAAGGAAACCGGAAGAGTAGTGGGAAACATTGATCGCCGCGGAGGAAGCAAGACTGATTAAAATAAGGACTGCCATTTGCTGTGAATATTTAGCCAATTCACATTAATTTCTTATTGTCTGAGATGCAATATGAACGACACTTATGGCCATATTACGTCCGTTGAAATGTATTGATAGCACTGGAATTGGTACGTTCAGTTTGATCTCAAATTATTCAGACCAAGACGTACTCTGAGCATAGTGAACCCCGTTAAGGGCTTTGTTTGTGTGCAGTTGGTATACCGCCCTAATGAGTTTTCTGTTCTTTAAGCGTGGAGGTTGCTTCAGTAATCTTGCTGGTGTTTTTTTGCGGGAATAATGCTTTTTTCGCACAAGCCAAGTCAAGATTCCCCACGTACTGTGCCGCCGTCAAATAATTTTACCAAGGTAGAAATATAATAAATTTAGCACGCCATAATCCTGATAAATGAACTGGCTAGCGATAGAAAATGTAAAGGAAAACCACTATAAATTGGAAGAAAATTTTTGTATAGAGTGCTAATGCAATCTGCATATGGGAAGTGTTGACGGTAGAACCTAGAAAAGCTTTAATTACTTATATAACGTCACATTTGAAGGAAATTGTGTACCAAAAATTCGGGGGCGGGGGGGGGGGGGGGGGGCAATCTAACATGCAATTATAACACTCAAAAACAGAAACCAAAAAAAAAACAAGAGGATATGTAAAAGCATAAAATGTATTGAAAATACGCACTCCCGCACTGTATCTAAAGTGCACAGCAAGAAAACAATAAATAGCAAACAGCATTACTCTACAAATTCTTTAATCAAAAGGGATCGAAAGCTTCCGGACAAACAATGAAGACAATATTTTATTTTGGGAGTTTCTATTCAACAATCGCCACTGAAGAAGACAAGTTATTAGAGGCATTAGTAGACAAAAATTGTGTTTATACCTTCGTTTTGGCCTTCATTTTCTTCTCGCTGTTCTATCAATGAGGCGAGGTAGGTCTAACATGAGCTTTCAAACTTTTTGTCCCCCTGTGTGCAGGTGTCGTGGGTGCGCCAGCGCGACCTGCACATCTTGACGGTGGGCACCTATACGTACACGTCGGACCAGCGGTTCCATTCGATCCACCTGGAGGGCTCCGAGGACTGGACCCTGGAGGTGCGCTACACCCAGAAGGGGGACGCCGGTGTCTACGAGTGTCAGATATCCACCGAACCCAAGATGAGCCTCAACGTCTCGCTCGCCCTCGTCGGTGAGTCCCTGGACTCCGGGGTCACCATGGCCTCGGTCATGCACGGCTTCCAGCACGTGCTCGAAGCCTTCGGTCGTACATAGGTTATGCGTGCAAGCTCGGGGCTCGCAGTAGGCCAAGCCGTTATCGAAGATAAAAATTCTCGCGCTGAAGGCCTATTACATTGAAATGACCTCCTCGTAGTTTTACTACTGTCGGCGACAATAGTAAATTGCCGAGCGGATTCCTGTATGTTGAACCCCCCTCAAAAAAAATACTGATAAAAATAAACCTATTAGAAAGCTACAAATACAATTTTATTCAATATTATACATAATTTTACAACCCACAAGGACGCTGGCTCCTATACTATCTCGAAATGATTTGAGGGCGGTAGGACGCTAGACAGTTCTCAAGATTTGTTTGCGAGTCTGTTCATCCTTCTCCATAATTAATGCTTCATTTTTCTTTCAAGTTAACAATTAAAATTTGCGATTTTTATTGATTCGTTCTCTTTTTATATCTATTGAAGTATGCAGGCTTCATAATATCCGTGAGATATTCTCTTCCGGACTGTGAATATAAAAATGTCAAAGTAAAATAATACAGAACAAAAGAAACAGTAAGACAAAACGCGAAATGATGAAAAAGTTCCTTTTCCCGTGTCCTGTTGCTTCGGCTCAAACACTTTTTTTTTTTTACATGATAGTTTTGGTTAGGTTTACTACATGGAAAAACGGTGTCCTTAACCTCATTTTGAAGCCGAAAAACAAAACTTGTGCCTCCTGCTCATAATTACCGAACGTCTTACAACGTTCGATATAAATTGCCACCCCCTAAGCTTTGCTAGAGACGTGCACATTCTCCGCGCGCCAACTTCTAATCGGAACGCTCGAAAAGTATAAAACCAATATCGTTCTGAATGCCTGCTTCACCCTAATTTTGTCAGAAGGTCAACCGCTGCACGTACCCAATTCCGTGATAGAAGCTAGGTACCGCACTCTTTTCAACGCCCAGCTGCTCTTCGCTTTTTTTTGGTGTTATCCGGGACATTAAAGAAAGAATAAAAACAAGGAAGTCTCGTAAAGGTTGATTTAGGGCGTGTCACGTCACCGCGCCCTCAAGTGCCGTAAAAACACACGGGGATAAAAAATAACACATATCGAAAGAGAAAGGCACGTAGGGATGAGATTTATTCACGCACCTCACTTTTCGTCCCTGAATTTTTTTTTAAAGTATATTTTGAGTATTACACTCGTTTGGTTTTTCTAGTTTACGTTGCCCTCCCTTTGCGCTTTCTTAAAGAGCCTATTGCAAGTGGCGTAGGGTAAAGCTTTGGGCAGCGTCAAATTTATGACGTTCAGTGTTGAAAGCTCACTGGTTTCTCGAATGGGTGTGATCTTTTATGCAGTTCTAATCACCCTCTCTCGCTTCTTTTTTAGTGAAAGTGTATGGTCTGCTAGCAGCGCAACTTTAACCTTTTTTTTTCATTTTATTGCGAAAATAGTGTTTCTCAGTGGTCATTAGGGTTTGGATCTATCGGCTCCGACTAGGGAGATCAGGGCCGCTCGCATCGATACCCTCATCCAACCGGTGAAACGTTAGATGGCAATTTTTTTTTTCGCACGCGCTTCTTATTATCCGATATATTTAACTCTGTTGACGTCTTGGCATAGTTAGCAAGGTAAAACATTGAAATCGCAGTATCACATTCCCTCTGGATTACCTATGCCGTAAAGAGCGCATGCCTGCGTTTTTGTTAACTAAAGTGCATCATCTGAAACCCCGTCTTCACATCTTCATGCTAAGGCCTCCAGCAGTTGAGGATTTTTGGAGAATTCGGGAATAATCGACCATATATCTCGTGACATTTTGAAACTTTTACACAAAACTTTTGATTGACTTAATCACCGAATCAAGAAGCGGAGAAAATTGATGCAATATTTACCTATAAGAGCACAAATTATCCATCGTACTTAGACGTCAAAAATAGTGGAAACATGTCGGCAAACGCTTAACTGATGTCACCAATTGGTGTTACCAAATTGGGTCAACAATAATTTGACTTTGTTCATACGTTGAGCGTGTTGATAAAATGGCTATAGGCCTTTCCTCTTAAAGGCGCCGAACGGATGTGCTGTTGGCAATTTGCGTCCTCGCCAACTTTCGGCTAAATGAGAGGACATACAATCCCTACTGCAGCACCGCTTACTGGTTAGCCAAATGTTTTCTGAAGATTTTCTGTTACTTCTCTAAGACGAATCGATCGTCCTCTTTTTTTTTTTAATAGCACAGCATTAGAGTCTTGCTATATTCCCAAATACGTGATTTCTGTAAACCTTCATCGTGCCACAAATTCTTACATTAACAGACTAGGAAGGCACGCCGAAACGAATCGACCGGAGGTCTCTTGGGGCGCAAGAGACGGCCTGTGTTTGTAAACAAAAAGGTGGGCTACTGTCGGTGAGTCGTAGTTAATCCAGTAGATTCTTCGCCCCGAGCGCGGGACATCTGCATTTGGTCACACTTCGTCCCACACCCATCCAGATCCCGGTGGAACGAAAAGAGCACGTGTTGGAGGCCGATCATCGACTGGGCTCTTTACCAATCACCGATTAGACCAATGAGCAAAAAAGGCACATCATAGCCCTGCAGTTGCCGCTCTGGCCGCTGATTGATGTTTTCCTCTTTTACCTGCCTCCTTTCCAAACTTACCAGTGGCCAAGGCGCGCATCCCGGAGGGCTCCAACCTGTACATCCAGAGCGGCAACATCATCAACCTGACGTGCGTGGTGACGGACAGCCGGGCGCCCCCGGTCTACGTGTTTTGGTACCACGACGACCGCATGATCAACTACGACTCGTCGAGGACGGCTGGCATCCGTGTGGCCACGGAGAGGGGGCCCTCGACCACCGTGTCCAGGCTCCAGGTGCCCGACGCCGCCACGGGAGACTCGGGCAACTACTCGTGCATCCCGTCGTACGCGGACCCGGCATACATTACCGTGCACGTGCTCAACGGTACGGCATACTGTTCACGCGACTGAAGAGACGATTCACCCTATACAAGGTGTTTCTGAGCGCTACTCTGGCGTAAAGAAAAAGTCGTATAAATAAATCAAGTAATGGTGCGTATTGAAACTTTTCTCGAAGGCATCCTTAGATGGTGCATTTATTATACTAAAATTTCACGAATGCGGGTGTCAGGTAAAACTTCACAGCCTAATTTTTTTATTTTTTTAGTTAGGCACAGGAGGGAAGACGATAAAAATTATGTTGGATGACGTTGTATACTCACAGATGGTACCACACACGCTAGGATTCGCTGGACGTTTTTTGGGGTGTTCATGTAGAAATGAGCTTTCACGTTTTTGCTTCATCCTATTGTAGCACTCTTGTCTGTGTAACTGAAAAAGGAAGAAACTTCCAAATCGAAGGAAAAGAGAACAGTAGGGCAACGTCTCGAACGTAGTTTGATATGTGAGTGGCTCAGTAGCAGCATAACACAGGCAGTTTTTACCATTTCCTTTCCTGTGCATGGAAACTATCAGAAGTTTTAGGCGCCAATATTTTCCTAAACGCCACACTAACGAAACTCGTGTATAATAAATGCAGAACCTAAAGACGCCTATGTGAATTGCTATATTCAGCTGAGTTCGTTGGTTAATTCATACGAGTTCGTTGTACAATCGAAAAGCGCTCGGGGAACTTTTTGTTTTCCAGTAAAAGGACAGCGGCCAAGACTGGTCAAACCAAAGCACTTAGGTTTCCAACTCATGCTAAAGACGTGTCTACATTTTGTTCCTATTATTTCCGGTTGGCGACGTCGCTACTCTCTGTTCTCTGACCCACCGCGCCCCTGGCGGCGATGCAGCAGTGAAGGTGGATACGTCCGTCCTCTATCGAGCTCTATGCGGAGAGCAAGTCATTTGTTTCTTGCGCAGGGGTTGCGGTGACGTCCGGGCAACTCTGACTTCTGATCGGCTTTGATTGGAAGGATGGTGGGTAGACCTCAATGCTATAGATGCCTTGAGGTCTACCTACTATTTTTTCAATCAGCTAATAAGAGCCTGGCGTTCTGATATCATTGCATCCCCTGTGTAAGAAGTAGACAAACTTGCGGTCCGCATACCACGCTCCGCAGCCGGCCGGTCAACACAAACTTCAGTAGCCACGGGTGGGGTAGCCAAGTGAACCTTGGCGACCAAGTTTGCTCGTCTATGTTCTCGGCGGCTCTCTAAACAACTGCAAGGGTCGCCACCACGTGTGTGCGTGCGTGCGTGTGTGTGTGTGTGTGTGTTTGTGTGTATGTGTGTTCTTGCGTGTGCGTGCGTGTGTGCGTGTACGTGTGTGTGCGTGCTCTTGTGTGTGCGTGTGTTTGTCCTGAGATTACCCATTCATTTTGCATCACTTACCCTCTTATTTATTATTTCGAAGCAATCAAAACATTCTGACGCTGAGCTCCCCAGTAGGACACGCTTCCCGGGAACAATATTTCAACGACCGGCTCACTGAATAAGGAATAATCATTGATAAATGTCCGTTCAATCTTTCGCACTTTTATTTTTGATGTCTTTTTTTTTTTTTTGTTATTTAACTGCGAACTAATAAACGAACTCCCAATGCTGCATGCAAGAATGTCGATATTTAGCTATCAGATTATTCAGTCAATGCTGAAGGCTAGACAGGGTTTTTTCCCTGTGCCAAGATGGGCGCATAGTAAGGCGATAAGTATTCACTGCGAGCGACTAGAGCACCCATCCAATTCCTTAGAAACCCGCAGTTAAACTCAGTTAAAGCCATCCTTCTAAGCCGAGAGGCCCTGATATTTAACCTGTTGTATTATATCATCATTTTGATTTCTTCTTTTAACACCTAGGTATTCACACTATTTTTTTAGCTGCCATCTCGTGTGACATGCCAGGAGAACTGTCCATGCTATCTGTCACATAGAACTTCCAAAGTTGTGGGTGGTCGTTTTTTACCCACATATATTGTGACCGATGAATTTTGCCTCTAGGGAACTTATAGTTTCTGTTGCGTGTCTTTGTGAAAGAACCGCCATGACCAGTGTGCTCTTAGGGGTTAAGTGCTTAGTGGGCACCTGCCACTTTGGTAACATTGATATTTATTTATAGAATATTTCTTAGTTGGTTCGAATGTGTGCCGAGTGCATCACCTCTGGATTGTCCACTAGTACATTTAACAAAAAGACAATATACTAAATTATGATACAATGTAGATGAACTCATGTTTTCATGTCACCCCGAGGAGGTTATGACTGACGAACGTGCAACGGGCAGATGCTTCGTCTTGAAAATATTGGATCCTCTACGAGCCTAGTAGACAAAGCTTTTGAGAGTAAACTGATCTAACAAGCATATCCTTGTGTATAGGGATACAATATGTTCAACCACACAGTTCATGTACTTTCTTAAAATATAAAAATTTGAGAGTAACTCTCAGATTGTGTTGCTTTGTTTCGTGCAGGGGAAAAACCCGCAGCGATGCAGCACGGCCGCCAGGGAAACCTCAGTGAGCGGTCTCTATCGTCGCTGCATCTCGTCACGGGAGCGCTGATGTTATACCGAGTCTTCATTCACGTCGTGGTGCAGCGATAGTGCAGTGCGTCCGAACGCCAAAAGCATAACTATTTGTGCCCATGAAGCTCCAAGACCCTCGTCCTCCCTGTGTGCTCGCCAGTCGCAGTGCTAGTGACACCACCGGCTAACCCAAATCGACGTGCGTGATGGCTGAAAGAATGTCCGGGGCATGGTAGAAGCATCACCCTTGCGGCCAAAGTGTTGAAACACGCGCCCCACTTTTATCATTTACTTTCTTACTAGGTATTGCAAACGCTGTTTGCAATACCTAGTAAGAAAGTAAAAGATAAAGTGGGGCGCGTGTTGACCGAGGGAGGACTTCAGTGACATGAGCGAAGTTTATTTATAAATTGGTGAGCACATTGTTAGATAGTGTCTATGGAAAGGTTGTGGGGTTTAGTCGCTGAAGGATACATCAAAATAACGCGAAACGAGTAGTAGAGTGTGGCCATCAATTAAAAAACTCCGGATGTGGCGTTTCAAAAGTCGCCTGCTTTCGTTGTCCCTTAGACACAGTTGAAGACCAGAAATTTTTAAGAAATGTAACCCCTCTATTATATTATAACGGCGTTTAGCTCTGTTTCAGCGTTCTTTTTTTTTATCTATTGATTCCATATGCATTTTTTTTCTATCTAAACTCACGCTGAGGTTTAGACAATGTTAAAAAAGGCTCATCCAACTAACCCCAAACAACTGCAATTGCACTATTTATAAAACTACAATGCACAATATGTTTAAGCCCTTCGTCCAAAAAAACTTTCTTTTCTGTATAAGTTTGTTTGCTCATTGCACTCAAAATTTTTGATTTTTCTAAGAAGGAAATATTTTCAGTGCGCCATTCAAGACACTACTAGAGCCTATAAATAACGCCACGCCATTAGTACCTCCCCTCATTCTTCTATAAGGCAGTACATGTCAACGGTGCGCCAGAACCAGTATGATTTTCTTGCGGATATGACCAGGTGCTGCTATAAAACAGGAATGCCTCCAGGACCTTGAAGGAGCGATATTTGTACTCCAGCGGCCTGGTTCACTGTGATTGGCTCATCACATCATCGTTCTTTTTTTTTTTTTTAACCAAGTTAGTCGATGTAAATGGACAAGTCCACCTGGTTTTGATGGCGTTGAAGCGACTGAACCACAGTCAACTTCTATTTTGAAGCCTGTTCAAAATAAAGGAAATTTTGAGGACAATACGGAGGTACGTTACTGCATACAATCTCTCTTCTCTAGAAAGAAAAACAAAATAACTCCCCGATTACACGCGTGAACTTTGGAATACGTTTTGTTATCTGTTGTAAGTGTGCCTTGTTTTTAACTCTAATATTTACTTTGCTTCTCTTAAGTAAAAGAATAACCCTGCGTTACATATTTTAACCTAGAGAGATATTATTGACCATCTGTTTTATCTGGTAATACGTCAATATTTTTTTTTCTTAAACAAAATAGACGTGCACTTTTCTGTGATACCGTTTAGAAACAGCGGTACAGTGTTACAAGATGTAAGCCTCTCCTACAAGGCGATAGGGGCCAACGTTTTCGCCTAGGAACGCCAGTAACCTTGTGGAGGGTCATTTGATCGTAAAGAAGCGGCCCAATTCAATGGAGAGTTTGAGCAGATCGTTCCGATAACTTCGATAACAATACACAATACTTCATCAACGCCTTTGAGCCTGCCTCGTATTGTTATTGGAACTATAGGAACGATCTACTGCAACCCCCATTTTGTTTCAATTGACACATGGGGTACAACTCCGCTTGTGCCAACCAGGACAACCTTTAGTGTTTTAATGGGTGACGTAAATTCACTACGTCATCACCCCTTGCTCCTTCAGTGAGAATGGGACGTAGTCTTATGGTGAGTATTGGTGATTGGAGCAGAAGAGAATATGCAATCGGCGCTTCCTGTATTATAATACCGCAAAAACAAATGAATTAAATGCGCGTTACATTCAAGTTTTATGTTTAGTCAAGGAAATACTTAAACATTTCCTTTAAGTCAAATATAAAACACCATAAAGGTTGTGAGAAACTTTTGTTTCGCTGTGCATCGTCACGTGCAGAAAAATGGAAATCTTTGAGGACGTAACGTCCTTAAAGTTTTGCATTTGTCTGCACAAATTTAGGCTCTAAAGAACCTGGATTTGTCTACGGAAGTAGAGTCAGCAGCAGTACGAACTTATTCAGTTTAGTGCCAACCAAATGGAGTAAAACGCCGCATGCACCGACTCTGGCATGCTGTGCTACGAACCCGACTGCCACACTGAGACTATAGAAATTGTGGCGCGATATTTCAACGAATTTTTAAACAGATTGAAGTATGCTTTCGTGCTGCCCCAGTTGCATCAGCTCATACTGCCGCACCCTGTACGTTAAATTGAACTCCAAAACAGGTTGTGGATTAGAGTGGGCAAGGACCTGAATGGCCACTGCAGACAACGGGACCACCACGGTAAGTTCTGAATGGACACTCTGCGAAACAGTTAGCTCAAACACGACACTTGTCCGTTCTCCGAATTTGCGACGAGATACGTAACTAAAGTCTTGTGGAAATGGAGCGTGATTTATAAGTTACGGTGTTAGAGGAGAATAACATTAAAAACGAAAACCGGAATCTGGTTTTCGTCCAGTATGTTATTCTCCTGTAACACCATACTAAGAGAGTTTTAGTACATCGTTCCGATGGTTTCGTTGACCCCGATAACAATACACGATACTCCTCCGCCGCCTTTACACACGCATTGTGTCATTATCGGGGTGACGGAGGTTTCAAAACGATATACTAAAACTCTCTGTGGACGAACGCCATGTCCTACCACGGCTGTGGGCCACCAGTATCTGTACAGGCCTGAAAATATTCAGGCTTGAAGAAATACGTTTTGTCAGAAAAAAAAAATTCTTAAATGGCTTATTCGCTTTAAATGTGTGGCTAACTTAATCACTGGGTAAACAATGGGTGGGTGTTATATATTGTATTGTTTTTACTACGCAAATAAATTGAGCAAACGTACGAACGGCGTGCTACGTTGCAAACTTTGCCATTACCCTAAAACAATTTACGGAATTCGTCAAAAGCAAGGTAGAGTCAACCAACCTGTAGAGCTGAACAGGAAATATTCATTATTTTACTGGCTTCCGCTACAGCGTATGCCAGAATGCTGTTGTAGATACCTGCGGCTATTTTTATGGCACTGCCTTTCTACGCAGACGTCGCTTGAGTCGCGTGCATTGGACGTGGCCGTAGACTTTACCCCTCTCAATGAGGGACAGTGTTTTATTCATAAAACTATAACACGACACGGAGTTTCGGCTTATTAGAAGTCATACTTGAAGTACCTTTGCGCGTCATCAATCTCTGTATTGAAATATAAAAGAAAAGACCTCCTGTGCTGCAGATTATCGTTGCCTCTTTTTATGTTCGTCGCAAAAAGGGTTATTAAATTTTCCACGTCTTACCGGAGGGAGAAACAACAAACACTGCTTTCAGATACGGCAACCAAACCTTGTTTGCCAGCTCATTCGCAATTGGGGTCCACCCACTGGCACAAAAGAAAAAAAAACGCGTTGGTAAGCAAGCACTATCGCAAAAGATCATTCGAGGATAAAAAAAATAGATAGTATAATTTGGCGGACAAATATCGGTGTTCTGGGCGTTGCTGGGACGTTATTCTCGTCGTTTGTTGTTGTTTGTGTTGTATGCATAACGGAAGTTCTGACTCACAAATTGGAAGCGTGTTTCACAGGCTCGGAATATTTCCGCATTCGTCAAGGGGAGGGAGGGTGCTACTGGAAAGGGAATGGGGAGGGAAGACAAGAAGAAAAGTGCCAAAGAAAGGTTGATGGAACGCGCGGAACACAGATCACTGGGCAAGGGCGTCTATTCACGAATCCAGAATCGTACGTGTATCGCCAGTCTCAACAAGATATTGCAACCGGAAGAAGGTTGGGCCTAGCGATGTGCCAACTCAAAGCACAACACCAAGGTTTAAGCAGGCATGCATTGGCTTCATGTTGGTTCGCCCCGATATCTACCACTACGTAACAAACCCGCGAAGGTTTGTTGGCGCAAGCGTCCTTCCAGAAGCTTAGCCTTCTTCGGGTAAGCCATGGAAGGACTGCCAACTGTCCTTGTACCGCGCTGATGAACATTTACAAACGCACGACATTCGGGTTACGCGCTGGTCTAGGTTGTGTACATGGTGCCCTGAGCAACACGCTCGCTCGACAGTAACACCAGAGTGACCGGAATAACCGTTCCATGGCACCAACCGCCGACCGCATGCAATCACGGAACCCGCAAGAGACGAACATAAATCGCCAAAGGACCTTTCCGAGCATTGTACAGTGTTCTCCCTCTAGGTGCCGTCCGTTTTGCTGGAGACGCGAATAGCATCCGACAGCGGTGCCATCTGCGATTGTTCAGTGCCGCGCCGCCAACCGATCGCACGTGGCGCCGCTGTCAAGGACCTTTGTTCCCGCTTGATCCCGCCGAGTAGTCACCCCCCCCCCCTCCCCCCTTGAAAGCCCCTTAACACACGCACGCACAATCTCCCAGTGCGTCAAGAAGGCCGGCCTTATACCGCTACAAAATACCTACCTTCTACCACTACGAAATGGTATTTCGTAGTGGAAATGCTTAAATTTTCATTACGAAATATATTTCGTAGTGGAAATGTAGGCATCTTTATTACTAAAATATTTACGTGAAAAGACCATGATCACAGCACAGGCAGAGCCAACAAGACACTTTTTTTTTATGGAACTAAGTCCTAAGAATGTTATCTGACGAAAATCTACAGGCTACACTAACTCACAACTTTAAAAAAGCGGGGTGTGCCATATTATGTTTACAATTGCCTCTTCGTGATTCGTCCTTCAATCTTCTTATCGTTAAATGCCGCTATTTTATTGGCTGAGGACCAGTGACAAGATCCCGGGACTCGGCTTGTACTGCCTTTCTTAAAATGCACTGATAGTTCAAAATCATAATTTTGTATTATCCGAAACGATTGAAAGCG